ATACTAAACCCTAGACCCTAAAGCCCTAAACCTCCGGGCTCCGGACAGATTGAAGGTGGCTTGGGTCGGCAGCCATGCCAGTAGTGATCTCCGTCTGACAAAGGCCAAGGCTTCTCGCTGCTTTGTCAGGCGAGCAGGGTGCAGGCCTTAAGGTCGTCCGGGGTCAAGTGCAAGATTCTGGCGCAGAGCCCCGTAAACCCTAAAACCTGAAACCCGAAATTCAAAAACCTGAAAAACTAATTACATGGGTTGAGCTCTCGGCCGCAAGATGCGCCAAACCCTAAATTCAAGCAGCTTGTGTCTGAAGGGGATTGCCCTAATGCCCCTAAACCTTCAATCCAAGCCCGATAAAACCGACAACCCTCCAAAACCTAAACCCTAAACCTTAAGCCACAAAAGCGTGGGCGCACCTCAAGGTCTTCGCACTCCTGCTCCACCATGGAGAAGCGAGTGGACACCTTCCAGGGTTCCCTGCAGGGTTCCTATAACTCAGTCTTAAACGGGTCACCTTTAAGGGTGCTGTCAGGGTCCATAATGGGGTCCCCTTTAGGGGTCTAGGCTTGAGGGCTTTAGGCTTAAGGCTCTAGGGTCGCAGGGCTTGCAGTACAAGTTTGTAGCGTTCTACCGGGAATTTAGGGATGAAGGGCTGATTTAGGGTCTTGAGGTCCTACTTCCAAGCTTCGAAGGCTTTGGGTGACAAGGACTTTGGGTTTAGGGTCCAGGGTTCAGGGTGTCAGGGTTTAGGGCTTTAGTGGTTTAGGGTGTAGGGTGCGGGGACCTGATTTCACGTACTGTTATGGGGGGGATACTTCCCTAAGTCATAATCGTTATTCCTATTGTAGAAGCTCTACACTCTACTTCATAGTTACATAGGACCCTTTGGGATAGTCTCCATTAGAGTTCCCGTTTTGGGGTTACCTCGTAGGATCCAACATTATGCTCAGTATAGTTTGCTGAACTAAAACAGGAACTCCAATGAGGACTATAGGCAATGCAAGCTTCTGCTGCTGAGGCTGCTTCATTCGGACCAAAGACGGCCTCCCTCAGGGTTTAGGGTTGATGGTTTCAGAAGACGATCTCGCCGCATGTTCGCCGGGATTAGCGTGTCGAAGCGTTCCTTAAACTCATCATCGTCCAGGGCCGGTAGCACGTCCGCGTGATTGCTCGGCACGTACACCTGCATCGGAACCAGACCCACTCATCCCACAATGAAAGGGCTGACATGCCCAAACTGCCACAGTTGTACTTAGTGGTACTAAGTTACAAGAAACCTAAAGCTTTACAGGTTGGTTAGTTCTTCTGGCGAAACCATAAAAGACCTGCAGACCGGCCAAATCCGTTGAGGCCTCGCTGCAAACAATGTCACCCTGGTCATTGACGAAGAACTGCGCCCCTGGAAGCACGGTGTTCTCAAGGTTCGTGGCCTCAGCGGACAGGACGGTGTTCAAGCTTTATAAGGCTAAGACCGCCTCCTCCCTTTCCACCACGACTCAAGTAACTCGAGTATTATCATTCAGTGTGGCGGGAGGTGGGGCAGGGGGGGGCGGGAGGGTGAGTGGTTAAGCAGCAGGTATCCCGGTATCCCGGCTTATCCAGACAGCTTGCGCAAGAGTGTGTTGGAAAGGCGTCTTGGCTTATGAGGGATAGCATTCGCCATGGCTACTCCTTCCATTCAGTTGGAGCGCGTACCTGGCCCTAACCTCCCAGATACCTACTATATAGGGTACTGGAGCCCCTAGGGCCCTTTATAGTAGGTACCTGGGGGTTTGGGTGGTGCAGAGCCTTCTGACTAAGTTCGCACGTGCAGCCTCTTCGGAGGGGCCGGTCAGGGACGAAGAAACCCTAAACCCTAAACCCCTATACCCCTAAACACCTAAACCCTAAACTCCGAAACCCTAAACCCTAAACCCTAAACCCCTAAACCCTAAACCCCTAAACCCTAAAGGGAGGGTCCGGGAAGAGGCCCTGGGTGTTGAACTCGGGGGTTTCGAGAGTAGTTGTCGGGTAGGGGTCCGGGAAAAGGCTTTTAAATCGGGCCGGGGATAATAATTACCTATAGTATTTTGGTGGTTCCTTATTATAATTCTAGTATAGTGGTCCTCAAAACCCCAGTCTAATTATTGCGAACATGTATCAGGAAATCATACCAATGAACACGAAGCCTGCAGGTGTGCTAGGGTCCAGGTAGGCTTAGGGTATGGGGCTTTTAGGGTTTAGGGTTTAGGGTTTAGGGTTTAGGGCGTGGGCTCTGGAGGGCGGGTCGGGTGGGACTCCCAGACAAGACTCCTAAACGAAAGCTCAATCCTGCAGCTCGAGACGAGCAAATAAAGCAAGGAACTAAATCTTGTGCCAGGCCTGTACACTTCAGAACCACTAACCCTGTAGGAAGTGCCACCCTATTGTCCTGCTGAACACCTGGGCTAATTACCCCAAACCCTGAGCCACACTAAAACCAAAAAATACCCCAAGCCCAAAACTCTAAACCCCATCCTAAACTCAAAATCCTAAACCCCAACACCCCAAAAGCCCATAAACTAAGCAGCCGGCGCGTTGGTGAAGCAAGTCCCGGTTGAAGTCTTCCCCCTGTGCGCGGGACTCATTGTTTGATGATATTAATCATAGCTAAAATTAACAATAATAATGGTAATCCTTACAATAATGCTATATTCAAAACAATACTAATAATGATAAAAGATGGAAGAATAGCAAGGATACTCATAAATACTCATAACCATGAGCGAACAAATAGTTAACATACACAAGTAAGGGTTGTGGGTTTGGGGTGTTTGAGGTTTAGGGTTTGGGGACTCATGGTCTCGGAGTGCGGTGTAAGTTTAGGATTCCCGGCTTGCGGGGCTGAGGGTTTCAGGGTTTAGAGGTTGAGGGGCTTAGGGCTTAAGGGCTCTAGGGCTTTAGGGCTTTAGGGCTTTAGGGTTTAGGGTTTAGGGTTTAGGGTTTAGGGCTTAGGGTTTAGGGTTTGGGGTTTAGGGTTTGGGGTTGTTGGGCTGTTTGTGATAATCCTTCAACACAGATCCTCGAGACAAGGGAAAACTACAACTGAGGCTTCAGGGATTCCTGCGGATAATGAAGCCAGACCCTCCACCGCTATAGAAAGGGTTTAGGGTTTAGGGTTTAGGATTGTTGTCCCAACTTCAAGCACTTTAAAACCGGCAGAACTCGCGTAAACCCTTCACAGCGCCCCCGGCAAACTCCTCAGCCCTCACCTCCCTAAACCCCGCATAGTTACTGTGCTTACAATCGATGTGGACTCTAGGAGGATACCTATAGTCTCCAGTGTAGTTCCTTCTTGGGGTTGCCTTCTAGGATCCTAACTATATAAAGATGGTTATACCAAAGAAAAAGAACGACACTGGATACTATATACCCTAAACCCTAAACCCTAAGCCCTAAACCCTAAACGCGAAACCCTCAATTCTTCCGACCTGCATTCTCAACCTCCGGCATCCCGTTTAGGTACCTGGACGCCATGGGCTTCAAATGATGGAAACCCCTAACCTCCCATGTACCTGATATATAGGGTACTAGAGCCAAGGGCCCTATATAGTAGGTACCTGGCGGGATAGGGAACTCTACACCCTCAACCCTTAAACCCTAAACACGTCAAGCCTCAACCCTTAATATCTAGTCTAAACTCTGAACCCCTAAGCCCTGAAGCCCTTAAACCCTACACCCTTGACATGTAGCCTAAACTCTGAACCCTTAAGCCCTGAAGCCCTTAAACCCTTAACTCCCGCGCTTCTATAATCAGCTGGGGAGGGATCCAGGCGTCGCTCTCGCTCGGATTGTCTGCAGACTGCTTGGACAAACCCCTAAACCCTGAAACCCTTTAAACCCTTAAGCCCTAAACCCGTAATTAAAGCCTGTACCCTTGAACCCTAAATTAAACCCAAAACGCGTAAATCCGAAACCCTAAACCCTAAACCCTAAACCCTAAACCCGAAACCCTTAAACCCTAAACCCTGTAGAACTCTCAATAGATTCAACCAAAGCCCTGCAAACCCGGCCATGTCGGTGCGGACGCCATGCTGGAAGAGAGTGCCGTACCTTTGAGTTCAGGGGTGTGGGACTTTAGGGTTTAGGGGTTTAGGGTTCAGGGTGTGGGAGTTTAGGCTTTGCGAGTTGTGTAGGGTTTCGGGGTTTAGGGTTGCGGGGTTTGGGGGTCGGAGTGCGGCTGATGGATGTAAAGGCTTTGGAGTTTAGGTTCAGGGTTTTCGGGTTGCCCCTTTGGGCGGAATGTGGAGATGTCCGAGTGTAATGGACAGGTGGTACCAAGAATCGGGCCTTCAAATCTGCACCAGAACATGCAGCGGGTGTGTATGCCTGGTCCTTCTGATTGCCCACAGGACCACTTCGGGACACATGCATGGACTTGCAGTTCGTTTAGGGTTTAGGGTATGTAAGGTTTAGGGTTACACCCTAAACCCTAAACCGTTCAAGGTCGAGCCTTTTGCATGAAGCCTCAACTTCTGAACCTGACACTGAAACCCTAAACCGCCTACACCTGAATCCACCGTCCTAAGTAAGCGCAAGACCCCTATCCTAAGCCCAAGACCCCCGTAAACCCCGCCCTCAACCCATACCCCAAATCCCAAACCCCATACCATGAGTTCTGCCCTAAACCCTAAAAGCCCTTAAACCCTAAACCCTATAAATCCCTAAAAACCCTAAACTCTAAACCCTAAACCTCAAATCCTAAACCCCAAACCCCCTAAACCCTCGAAAACGTCGGAACTCTGAGACAAAGGCATCTCCTCCACCGAGGTCTTCAGCTTTTCCAGGTTCGGCAGATTTGCTTCCACCTGCCTGGGCCAAGTTTCCGGTTTGGGGAGTAGGTTCGGGTTTAGGGTTTAGGGTTTTAGGATTGAGGCTTTCAAGGAGTAGAGTTTTAGGATTAAGGCCTCTAGGATTTAGGCTTACTGAGGTTTTAGGGTTCGCGGTTCAGTTTGTGGTTTAGTTTATGTTTGGCTTGCTGCTCAAACTTTCATGGTGCAGAAAACCCTAGGGTTTAGGGCTCCGGGAGTTGGGACATCTGAAATTGGGGCTTATATAGGGTTTAGGGTTTAGGGTTTAGGGTTTTAGGGTTTAGGGTTTAGGGTTTAGGGGGATTCGGGTTTAGGGCCGCCAGAAGGGTCCAAGTGCTCATCCAGCACACACGCGCGTGCACTTTGATATAGCTAAACACACAAGTATATATTTATTCTTTATACATGTATGCAGCAGTATGAGCTTATTTTAGTTGCATGTAGGGGTCTGCTTTTATGCGGTTCGGGTTTGGTATCTCGAACCCTCTGGGCACAGAATCAGACGGCTTGCACGAAGAGCCATCGTTCACCCTAAACCCTAGACCACCAAGCCTAATATAGAAGCCTACATAATTACAAATACTATTTTGGGACTTCCTTTTATCATTATAGTATAGTATACCACAAAACCCTAATCTAAGCATTAAGGCTTCAATATTAAAGTCAATACATGCTGAACCCTGAACTATCCAAAACCCAACCCCAGACCCCACGTCCTAAACCCTGAACCCCATACTCCAAAGACCCTGAACCCCAACAGCCCCACGGCGCTCATTGGGGTTGGGACTGGGGGTGTGACTCTGAGCATCGAAAACATAAACCCCATGTCCTCGAAACCAAACTTAAACCCTAAACCCTAAACCCTAAACCCTAAACCCCTAAACCCTAAACCCCTAAACCCTAAAACCCTAAACCCTAAACCCTAAACCCTATAAACCCTCAAAAACATCCGTCAACTCCAAACACAGAAACCCTAAACCCTGCACCGCAAGAGTGTGGAACGCCCCCTAACCCCGTTTAGGGTTTAGGGTTTAGGGTTTAGGGTTTAGGGTTTAGGGTTTAGGCACACCGTCAACAAACTTCTTAGGACACATAAGTCACGAAAGGGAGGATTACTTAACAAGCACAACTTTGTTCAACATAATGTAGGGGCCTTCACAACTAGAAGAAGCTTTTCGGGGGCTCCTTATTATACTTGCAGTATAGTATACCCCGCAAACAAAAAACTATTCCAATTATTAAGGCCCATATATGACATACCAAGCACAACTTTTTTCGACCCTAAACCCTAAACTCCTAAACTCCTAAAACCCTAAAATCCTAAACCCTATAAACTCCTAAACTCCTAAAACCCTAAAATCCTACACCCTAAACTCCTAAAACCCTAAAATCCTAAACCCTAAACTCCTAAACCCTAAACCCTAAACCCTGAATAATGTCATCAACTCGGGCTCGGGCTTGAAAGCCTTCACATACCTTTGTGATTCACAGCGCCGAGGGGTCGACGACTGTTTAGTGGGGTCGGTTTTAGGGTTTAGGGTTTAGGGTTTAGGATTTAGGGTTTAGGGTTTAGGGTTTACGGTTTAGTATACGGAGTCTAGGGCATAGGGTACAGGTTTAAGCTATAGGATTTAGGGTCTCGGGAACGCGGGGGTCGGGACCAGGGTAGGGATCATTAGATTGTTTCTGTCTTCAACTTTCAACTCTACTGTCTTGGATGTTGCTGTCAGTCTGTTTGTCAGCAGATCGCTCTGGGCTGAAGCCTTAGGCTAGCTGTTTTGTCGAAGAAAATGGGCTTCTATATAAACAGAATGTACTGAGAAACTCCAGGGAAGTTGTCCGTAATGATGTGCCTGGTTTGGTCGACACCTGAAACCATCTGGGATTCGGCAGAGTGTCGACGATTCCAGGGAGCGGAGCTCATCCGGTCTTCGGTTTTGCTACAGGTCCACTTGCTTAATCAGCATAACTGCTCTCCATATTCCGAACCGACAACTCCTTTCTCCACCCTCGGCCCCAACAAGCTCGACATACCCCCAGACACTGGCTTAGGGGTTTACCGGGACCCCAAAGAACCTACCTTTTCAGGGTTCCTCATTATGATTTCCTTATTTAAGTCCTCAAAAAGGTAGGTGATTGGGGGTTGAGGTAGGGTCTGAAACTCCTGCACACGAGCCCTGTTCTCATCGCCCTTGGCCCTTAACGTTCGAACCTGAAAGCCTCAATTTACCCTAAAAGACAAACCCTAAACTCCGCTACACCCTGTAACCTTAAATCCTGAACCCTAAAAACCTACACCCTA